GGCAAACATGTAAAACTCACTGCCATCAAGTTTATTGCAACTCACAGGGCCCTGCAGGACAGGGTAGAGCTGCCCTTCTGGGTCTCTGAGACTGTCTCTTCACAGGAGTAGAAAGTCCCATCTTTCTCCAATGGGGCAACTGATGAGTTTGAACTACCAACCTTGAAGTTCATAGCCCAATGCATAGCCCACTATACCACAAAGATAATTTATTAAAAAGTATTAATTAAATGCACGGAGGAAAAGTGAATGCATAAAATTAACTGTGTGTGTGCCAATCACTGAAAAACAAATTAGCATGAGCGTAAGTAGAAATTCCCTGAGCCTGCCTATTCCATCTCTTAGGTAGTGGAAGTAGGACTCGGGGATTGCTTTGTCCATGCAGAATGGTTCTTGATTTGCTTACTGGCTTTCTTTTTGCTGTATTTGGACTCTTTCTTGCTAATTGCTTTAAGACATGAGGGCCGCAGCTGGCATTTTCTGCATCTTGTGTGCACAGCATTTTTGTAGGTCCTTCTCCCTTGAACCCCAGTCTATGATACAGGAAACTCAGAATCTTCCTTATTAAAAAAGAAAAAAGGGGTACCCAGGTAACTGCAGTCAGGTTGATTTTATAGAAAGACAAGGAAATAAGGGCTGATATAAACCTCCGCAGTGAATCATTATATTAATGGTCACAACAAAAAGAAAGAGACAGATTCATCCAGAGCTCACTGCCACCATAGCAACTCACAGTGACCCTATAGGTTGGGCATGACAGAACTGCCCAAGCTGAACGCACGTTCAACTTATCACAAATGGAGGCAACTTTAAAGAGAGGATGGTGAATGGTGTCAATTTCAATTTTTCCAAAGGATTGTAAGCTACAAAATACATTTCAAAATAAAGGTTTCCAAACAAGAGATTCTCTTAACTTCAATCAAATTTAAAAACCAAATGATATAAAGTAAACCTAAACAAACCAAAAAAAGCCAAAAACTCCCTGTAGGAATAGCTTTTAATTTTTCTCTCTCCTAGAATTCTCAAATGTTTTCTCATGGCTATGACTGGCATTATAATATGATTAACTTTTGATATTTAAATTGTATTTATATTTTCATTACTTTATATAGTTCAGTATTCCTTAGGAGAGTGCTTCTCTCCATATAATTAACACCTCAAGCTTCCATATTTGAAATACAGGGCTTTTTTTTTCCATTGATGGGTAATCTTTTTATTCTTGTTGGATCATTAAATACTCGATAATTTCAAGTTTTTAAAAGACATTTTAACATCATTCTTTTGCTTCATAAATTACTATCATCCGGTAGGTAAGGTAACAGTGCCAGAAAATAGGTCGCCAAGAACTAAATCACAATGATAACTACTCCTAAAATAAGCGAGCCTATGAGTTTAGAGAAATGCACACAAAAACATGGAAGGAACTGTTACACATTGGGTTGCTAAAGGCTAGGTTGCCAGCTCAGCCCCCGAGCTGTTCCGCTGAATAAAGATGAAGCTGGCTATTGGTTCTTACAAAAAGCTAGAGTTTCAGCAACCCTAAGGAATAGCTCTACCTAGGTCTTATCCTGTCACTATGAGTCAGGATTGATTCACTAGCAGTGGATTCAGTTTTGGACCATATTTAGTCAACTATTAACCGTAAGCTATTTCTATACTTTATTCCCATATGGTTGTTTTTACACACTTGTGACTATGAATATGAAGTGTGTTTTATGTTCAATTTTAGGTGTGTACACTATGCTAAGGTGCTTTGCTGGTGCTGTGCTTAAAATGCTCACTTTTTAACCAGAGTTAGCAGTTCAAATCTACCAGGTACTCTACCAGAGGAATAGGAGGCTGTATATTCCTCTAAAGATTTACAATCTCTCCCTCCCTGCCCCCCCCCCCCAACTATCATGATCCCAATTCTTCCTTACAAATCCGGCTAGACAGAAGGATGTACACTGGTACAGATAGCAACTGGAAACACAAGAAGAGCTACAAAGGACATGCCAGGAGAGCTTCATGTGTCCTTGGGAAAGAAAACCGGGGTCTTTCCCCAGCATGAATCGAGAAAGAACACATACCCCTAGTGCTGGCACCCTGAATTTAGACTTCCAGTCTCTGAAATCTATTTGTTAAAGGCACTCACTTGTGATTTTCTGTTAAAGCAGCATAACCCCCCAAAAATGAAACTCACAGCCATGGATTCAATGCTAGCTCCTAGCAACCCAGTCAGTGGGGTTCTGAGACTTCACGGGAGTGGGAAGTCTCATCATTTGCCCATGGAGCAGCTCGGGGTCTCCAACTGCAAACTGTATGGTCAGCGGCCAGGTTCATAACCGCCACTGCACCCCCAGGGATCCCAAGTGGCACTACTGTGTCTATGAATTTCTATAGCAGACAGCTTTGTGGGTATAATTTTTCACCCTCTGAAAAATAAAACTTTAAACATTAGATAATATTTTGTTAGATACATATATGTGTGTATATATGTATACATATATGTAGATATGTATATCTAGATACATATGTATATGTATAGGCATAGTCTCATCCATGTTCACATGCAAGAGAAGGTGAAAAGCACTATTGCTGCTCGGACTCCAGGCATCCATACATAGGTTATTCCACACTGTCCATATGCACACAGAATACAGGCCACCGAGAATGGAGTCTGAGTTATAGATATTCATAGGAGTGATTAACCTGTCATTTAACTGTATGAATATAAAAATACCAAAATCTACCTTATCTTTAATCCATTACTAGATCATATCTGGAGTCATCGAATGGCTGCAGACAAGTTCTCTCATTAGAGTGTTTTAAAAAAAAAGAAGAAGAAGAGAAAGAGGTACAATGAAAACAGGGGCTTCTGAGGTGATGTCAGGCCAGTTGAGGCCAGTCCCGAGACTCTACTGGGGGGATTTGTAGCGGGTAATCTTGACAGGTTTTCTCAAAAGACAGGAGATGGCCAATGGTGTTTTTTTTAGGCATTTTAAGAAAATTCAAAACTTCAATTAAGAGATATAATCCAGGAAAGTAACATTGAGGATCCCTTGCCCCCAACATGACAGGGTAGTTGCTCCTTCTTTGAACGTAGCGATTGCTGTCCTAGGAACATTTCACTGGGAAACCTCACTCCAGGCACCCTGCAATCCTGTTGTTGCCCCTGCAGAATTCCTGTTTCCAAATTTCAGAGCTTTTGAAAGGACCACCATCTGAGTCACCAAGGACAGCCAAACTGCTGTGTTGACACTGTGTAAAATGAACTCTCTAGAATCCTTCAAGGAAGGCTTAGAGACATTGAAAATTCACCTTCAGAAATGTACAGACCTACATGCAGGATACATTAAGAAACAATAGCTGTGTGATATTATTGTTTACTGAAGTTCCTGTGATTATGTAGATAAACTTTTTGGCTACCATTGTATATAGCAAGCTATTAATTTTTAATATACTGGGTTTTGTTGAAATCATTATGTTTTATAATGATACTTTTGACAGTTACATGTATGTAAGAATCCCCACCAGCCTTATTTTTGCATCATGAGAAGATAATTTTGCAGCATGAGGATAAGGGAAAAATTAAAAGTTTAACCAATGGCCATAAAAGTACTTCTCGAATAGATTGTCCCTACAGGGCATTAAGTTTGATTTTATGAATATAAGAATTTTGTTTAACACTACACTAATGCTGAAACCATTGAATTAAGAAAGATAAAGAGGAGCTGATACCAAGGCATCAAGTAGAAAGAAAATAGTTTGGAAATGATGATGGCAATATATGTACAAATGTGTTTGGTACAATTGATATATGGATAATTATAAGAACTGTAAGAGCCCCCAATAAAATTATTTATCTTTTTTTTTTTTTTTTTTAAGAAAGGAAATGGCCTGGATGCAGACAGGAAAGCTGGGGTGGTCACACTCTTGAATCGAAGGTGACAGCAGCTGACAGGTTTGAATTATCCCTTCAGGGTGGTTTATCAATCCCTGGACTCCAGTGGGTTATGCTTTGAGCTGCTCACTACAGTGTCAGCGATTCAAACCTACTGGTCACTCCATGGGAGGAAGATAAAGCTGGCTACTCCTGTAAAGATTTAAAGTCTCAGAAACCAAAAGGGACTTCTAACTCTACCCGAAGAGTCACTGTAAGTCAGAATCAACTGCATGGCAGAGGGCTGGTCGACAATTTAATTGTCTACTATTGTGATTATAAAATAAATGATAATGATTAGAATACAAATGTCTCAAAATATGACTTGGTATCCTCTCTTAATTTTAAATAACTCCCTTTCATATAATACTTTTGCCTTTGAGATTATCTGTGGTTTACTAGTCTAATTGTTCAGCCATGTTTAATTTGAATGCACACTTACAATGAATGTGGCATTAGCATGTTGGTGAAGAAAGTAAACATGACACGGACGGCCAGAAGAGCAAACAAACGCATCTTGGAAGAAGTGCACCCCCAATTCCCCTTAGATATGAGGCTGGCAAGACAACGTCTCAAGCATTTTGGAAATGTTGTCGGAGGTATTCAACCCTGGAGAAAGAGGCGATGCTGGGGAGAGGGTCAGCAGAGAGGGCACCCTTCTCGAGAGAGAGTAACAAAGTGGCAGCAACAAGGAATTCAAATGCAGGAAAAGATGGTGAGGGTGGCACCAGGCCTGGCAATATGTCTTCTGTTGAAAAGAAACTGGGACTCAGCACTGACACAATAGCCCTGACAGAAACCACCACAAACTAGCGCCTGTCAATCACCTAATCACCGAGCCGCAGTGCAGAGTGGGTCGTATTATCCAAAGTCTCCCCAAAGGAAGGGAGAGGACGTGAACCTCCCCGTGTCCTAGTCTGATGCCCCTCACCTAGCCCAGCACTGTCAGTGCACACGCCGGCCTCTTGGCGCACCCC